TCACCTTAGTTCCTAGATCAAGCCTTTCAGGGCTGAGAGATACCTCTTTGCTTTCAAAAGTCTGTACTTTCATGAAACACAATATATTAGGATTTCAATGTCTAGATTCAGATATTCAAATAAGCAGATGACCTTTAAAGCCTGTGGTGATGAAATTGTATTCTCTTCATTAATAGTTGTTACTTTTTAGTATTTTTGTTCCAGGGAGAAAAGTTATGTAAACACACTCTACCATTCTTCAAACTTATACTGCAGGGGCTATGGAAGACTGAATCTGTGTGCACATTTGTTCTAACAGTTTGAAAATTCTTCACAAACACTGCAGTGCTGACCACACCAGACAGTCAGCAGGAGGAAATGAATTCTATGTTACAAACACCTTTGACAAGAGTTGCACCAACTAAAGCAATGCCTCATAACTCTACACAGATTTCCCCATCTTTGTTTCTAATAATTTACTGACAGAATTTAAGGACACTGTGTTGGCTAGTTTTAAGTCAACTTGACAGACACTAATGTCGAGAGGAAGGATCCTCAATTAAGAAAATGCCTCCACCATCCTGGTCTACAAAAGCTAATTCCAGGACAGGCTCCAAAGCTACAGAGAAACCCTGTCTTGAAAAACCAAAAATAAATCAAAAAAAAGCTGGGTGGTGGTGGCGTACGCCTTTAATCCCAGCACTCGGGAGGCAGGAGGATCTCTGTAAGTTCGAGGTCAGCCTGGTCTACAAGAGCTAGTTCCAGGGCAGGCAACAAAGCAACACAGAGAAACCCTATCTTGAAAAACCAAAATAAATAAATAAATAAATAAAATAAAATAAAAAAAAAAAACCCTCCATGGCCAGAACCTGGAAACAACCTAAATGCCTCAACTGAAGAATGGATAAGGAAAATGTGTTAAATGCAGTACTACACAGCAGAAAAAAATAATGACAGCTTGAATTTTGCAGGAAAATGGATGGAGCTAGAAAACATTATTTTGAATGAGGTAACCCAGACACAGAAAGACAATTACCATATGCATTCACTCATAGGTGGTTTTTAAACATAAAGCAAAGAAAACCAGACTACAAACCACAATCCCAGAGAATTTAGACAACAATGCAGACACTGAAAGAGACTTACATAGATCTAATCTACATGGGGAGTAGAAAGTAGAAAAAGACAAGATCTCCTGAGTAAATTGGGAGCACGGGGACCTTGGGGGAGGGTTGAAGGGAGGAGTGGAGAGACAGGAAGGGGAGCAGAGAAAAATGTAAAGTTCAATAAAAAATCAATTAAAAAAAAAAGAAAATGCCTCCATAAGAATTTTCTTAATTAATGATTGATGTAGGAGGATCAAGACCATTACAAGTAGTGTCATCCCTCAACTGGTAGTTCTGGGTTCTATAAGAAAGCAGGCTGAGCAAGACACGAGGAACAAGCCAGTAAGCAGCACCCCCCAGGGCCTCTGCAGCAGCTCCTACCTCCAGGTTCCTACCTTGTTTGAGTTCCTATCCTGACATTCATCTATGATAAACAGTGATATGGATGTGTAAACCATCCCTTTCCTCCAAGTTGCTTTGGTCATGATGTTTTAGCTCAGCAATAGTAACCCTAACTAGGTCAGGTACTTTGGTTCCAATGCTATATTAATAATATTTATTATGCAAAAATAAGTATTAATATGATCAAAATGTGTTATTTATATCTTTTAATTTTCTGACAGCTAAATATCTCCCTCTAGTGGAATGTCTGATTTTAGGAAAAAAAAGAAATCCAACACTCTGTCTTTACTTTTTTTCTATCAATATCAACAGTAAAAATGTACACAGCAAAAAAACATTTGCTTTAGTTTGCTTTTCTGTTGCTACAATAAACACCATTCCCAAAAGCAACTTGTGGGAGGATAAAAATGTATTATCTTACACATTCAGGTCAGTCAGTCACTCAGGGAAGTCAGGACAGGAACTCAAGCAAGAACTACAAGCAGAAACCATGGAGCAATGCTTATTGGGTTGCTCACTAGCCATGAAACCCTGCTGGATTATACCTGGCCTTGCTCTGGAGTTTTCACACAGCCTCTAAGCCTTCCTTTACAAATACCTTTCATTGTCCAATGTGAATCTTGACTGAGAGTTTCCCATGGATATAAAGCCTATGCAAAACTTGGTTTAAAGGAAACCTAGAAAACCATGGTACCTTATGAATCAGGTATTTGCACCTGGCATTGTATTGTCAGAAGCTTCTATCAGTTTGTTTTGAGATATGAGAATCTAAAGAGTAAATATAGGAAAAAAAAGAGATGCTGAGAGGCAAAAGGAAGAAGCTTCAGTTCACCGAGACTGAGCCCCTTGCAGCCACAGAGGCTAAGTTCATTCTCATGTGTCTCTGAGTCTTCATTTCTCGGATCCGTGTGAACTCACACATCTGCACCAAAATACACATGACAAAAGACATAAGCATCTGTAACAGAAAACGCCGACAAGACCTTAAGGCCAACAACAGGATATCAGAGTCAATTACCAGACATGTTTGCATACTAGACTACAGAAGTTCTAAGAAAAGAAGCTGAACGTGGTTTGATACCATCAAATTGCCACAGGCTAGTATGCAGGACACCACCATGCAGGAAAACAGATGGTATAGTACCAATCTGAGGTGAGAAATAACATTGGCCAAAAACAAAGAAAACTCAGTTGGTCAGACTATATAACTCTTTACAATGGGAAAAACCAAAGAGTTCCTAGGTCACACAAAAGAAAACATGGGGCCTTAAAACAAGCTGTTCAACCTGAATGAAACAATCAATTTGGGCTCATGCTCCAGTCCAGTCTTTAGCAAAGCCTCAGTGACCCTGTAGTGCCCTAAGGTTGGTGTCCATTCGAGAACAGTATAACTTACATAAAATCACTCATCAAGCCAGGCAGTGGTGGCACATGCCTTTAATCCCAGCACTAGGGAGGCAGAGGCAGGCGGATCTCTGTGAGTTCGAGGCCAGCCTAGTCTACAAGAGCTAGTTCCAGGACAGGCACCAAAGCTACAGAGAAACCTTGTCTCAAAAAAGATCACTCATCAAGTATGCCTTAACATGTGAAAATGTTAACTGTTATATGAGTCAAAGTTCTCAGAAAGAAGTGACGCCTTCAAAATGAAACCTTTTCCAAGATTGACTGATTAGAGCTTTGATGATTATAGAGAGTTTGGAATGTTTCAAGTCCAGAGACAAATTACAATTTGTCTTGGGCTACTTTTAGTCCCCCAAAGAGCCATTCCTTTTCCTCCTCTGTGACTAACATATAAAAACTATTTAGAACCTATTAATTTTCGACAGACTACTAGCTTCCACCAACCTAGCAGGCTAAGAACGTCACCAGATAGCATCTTGGGCCTATAGTAGAGATCTCCTCACTTTCCTGTATCTCATTTGAGATGAGAATTATATTTTTGAATTAACGAATGTATTTTGTTCAACTGGTATTTGGAACACCACTGTGTTTTCTTGGTCACATTGGTAACACTGAAGGGTGGTATTGAAGTGAGTGATTGTTGGGAGCTCTGTCACCAGATATTCCACAATCCATCCTTAGCCTGCCCCAGGCTAGTAACAGCAAGTGACATTAACAGTACAGAGAAGCAAAAGCTCAAAGCCTACACATCTGAACCTGATGCTTGAATCGTTTTTATTATATTGCTCTCTGACATGTAGACACAGGGTACTAACAGAGTCACTGACATCTGTCCCAGTTTAAAAAAAAAAAGACAATTTGGGGCTTGTTTTATGGCTAGAATAAGGAATCCTGGAACCTGAGACTGAATGCTTGAGTACAGCTTGTCTACAGAACTTGAGGTAACCACAATCTGTCCACACTTCATTCACCTGATATGAGACCAAGACAGTCTTTCTATACTTTCTGGCTCTGTTCTTTGTAAAAATTTCTTATAAACCCAGATGGCAAAACCAAATGGTTGAAACTTCTATCAAAGCATGTGTCCAGCTAGGCTGGTTCTCAAATTTATGGCTAGATTTGATTCTTTTCAGAGGTAGTCTCTGGCTGTTGAGCCTGTTCTGCTTTAGCTATTCTATTCTAGCCCACAGGGTTACAAATGACTATTCTGTCTACTGCACTACCTTGAAGTCTAAGCCAAAGGCATGTCTTCCTGTGTCTGTTGGCAGTCCAAAATAACCTGCAGGATCTTTCAACATGGCTGTGACCCCAAAATGATGGCTACCTGGGAGACCCTACACAAGGACACCCAACTGGGCTGCTCCCACATTCCTGACACATAGAAAAGGTATAAGGCAGTATTTTTTGTTGTTTTAAATAATAACTTTTAGGAAATTTGTTACACAAAAATAATTAAAAGATAATAGGTTCCCCATCAGCTAACTACTTGCAGCATGCAAAACTGATTCCATGACCTCAGAGACTTCCATTGGGAGCCTAAAATCATCTCCTACCTAGCTTAAAATAAAGCACATATAGGCTCAGCACCAATTCCATCATATTCAGCTGAGAGGGTGTTGTAGAATATTTGTACAACATGAAAAAGTATTGTTGTGATTGGTGTAATAAAAGGCTGAATAGCCAATAGCTAGACAGGAGAGAGAGGTGGGACTTCTGGGCAGAGAGAGCTTGCTGGGAAGAAGGCAGGGCACCCAAACCCTAGCCCAACCCTAACCCAGGATGGGTAGTATAGAGTAAAGGTTACTGAGCCACACATGTAAAACAATGTAGATTAAAAGATATGGATTAATTTAAGTTGTAAGAACCTATAAGTTATAAGCCTAAACTAAGGCCAATCTCTTAAGTCTTAAATCTCTGTGTTATTTTTTGTGAGCTAGTGGTCCAAAAAAATCTGTCTACAAGAAGTACTCTAAAAAATTTTTATGATATAAATGTGCTATAAAGAAACCCTGGCTTATACACTCTTTTTCATCTCAACCACTGTAGTGACTTAAGTATGGGAACTACTTCTCATAGGAAAAAAAATCTGTTACCACAACATGCTCAAGTTACCTCAATTTGCAGAACTTGAAATTCCAGTTGAAATGTAACCATGTTACAATTTCCTGATAATCTGTGTCTCTGTAGAACTTTCTTTGTATCTGTTAATTAGAAAATCAAATATTTTATTTAAAAGAATACTTTTCTTCAAATACTTATTTACATGACTATCTACTTGCGAGTAGATTTATAAAAGCATACATTAGCAGTCAATTTAAAAAATCAGAAAGGTCTGGGGCTGGAGCAATGGTTTAGTGGTAAAGATCACACTGCCTGTTCTTCCAGAGGACCGAGGTTCAATTCCAAGCACCCACATGGCAGCTAACAACTGACACCCTCACACAGACATACAGGCAGGCCAAAACACCAACACACATAAAACAAAGAAATTTTTAAAAAATCTGTATGATCATGTCAAAGAAATTGGTCTTATAAAATAGAATTAAAGATAATTTATACTTTCAAGTTCTCAAGTCTATCGATGGTGAAGGTAAGTAACACACCACAGACACACACACACACAGTATGACCCTAAATAAGTTTGAATCATGTTAACTGTCATATGTTTTATTTTCATTATTTTTTATTTATTTACTTGTTTTTTTTTGAGACAGGGTATCTCTAAATAGTCCTTGCTATACTGGAACTCATTATGTAAACTATGTTGGCCTCAAACTCAAAGACTGGCCTGTCTCTGCCTCCAGAATACTGGAATTATAGGCATGTATCACCACACCCAGCCTTTATTTAATTTTTTTTTCATATTTATTCACATGTGCATGTGTGTCTATGTGTGTGATGCATGTAGAGGTAAGAGGACAACTTGAGGGCTCAGTTCTCTTCTTCCACTATGTGGGTTCCAGTGTGTAAACTCTGGTCATTATTAGGCTGGGTGTTAGGGCCTTTATCTGCTGAGTCGTCCATCTTGCCTATCTGAATTTTTTCAATATTACCTTCTTGTTTGTGGATTTATCTTGACATTACGGTGATCACCACAATTATACCAAAGTAATACTAGCTGGTTTTTCCTACAGTTTTCAAATGATCTCATTACGATTATAATCATATATGGAGCATAATGGCTGGCCTCTGCTTCCTGATATACACCTGAATCGAGTATTACGACACAGAAGGTACTTTCCAGCCAGGAGGAAGTTATTTCAGTCCTAACCCATTAATATGTCCATCTTTCTAACTCACATTTCAAATATTCAATTGGCATTTTCCAAAACTCAGAACTATAAACTGTACTCTACAATTCTAGATAATCATGTCTCTTTTACTTTGGTTTCATGGTCCTTTACATTACTAACAAGCTATTTCAAGACATAGCTAAAAACAATAACAAATCTGTGTGTTTACTTTTCTTACCCCTCAATGTCCACTAAAGGTGTGCATGATGTTGCACACCTTTAATCCCAGCACTAGAGAAGCAGAAGCATGAGGATTGCTAGGTGTTCCAGACTAGCCAGGGCTACATAAAGAGACATCATCTTAAAACAAACAAATGGAAACAAAACAAAAACCCAAACCAAATAATAGTAACAACAACAAAAACCCCACTAAAATGTGTTGTGGAATATTTAACTAGGCAAAGATGTGCTACATTTGTTTATGCTGTGGAATATTACTTTAATTGTGTAAAAGTGAGTTACATTTGTTTCTGCTGCATTTGTTTAATTATGAAAAGATGTGTTGTTGTTTCACCTTGCTAAGGCACCTGACTGGTCTAATAAAAAGCTGAATGCTAATAGCTAGGCAGAAGAGGGATAGGCAAGGTTGGCAGACAGAGAGAATAAATAGGAGAACGAGACAAGAGAAGGAGAAGAGAATAAGGGGAAAAAAGGGAGATGCTCAGGGCCAGCCAGGCAGGCCCCAACCAGCTAGACAGAGTATACAGAAATAAAAGGTAAGAAGCCCCAAGGCAAAATGTAGATGAAGAGAAACAGGTTAATTTAAGTTAAAAGAGCTAGCTAGAAACAAGCCTAAGCTAGGTCAAGCATTCAAAACTAATAAATCTCCATGTCATGATTTGGAGCTAGTTGGTGGCACCAAAGAAAAAAACCTGGTACAAAAATGAGTTCAAATGGTATGTTTGAAATATCACAAGAACAATTTAAAAGCTTAAAATGCAACACTCTTAACACCTCTATCATTTTTACATGTGTTTACTCATGTACCGAGCACCCAAGTCAAGATGTCCCAATTTTATACTACCTTGAAAGTTTCCCTTATCTTCTATCACAGACTATTTCTTTTTTCTTTCTTTTTGTTTTGTTTTTTTGAGACAGGATCTCTCTGTGTAGCTCTGGCTGTTCTCGCTCTGTAAACCAGGATGGCCTTGAACTCACAGAGCTCTGCCTACCTCTGTTTCCCAAGTGCTGGGATTAAAGGTGCACACCACTATGACCTGGCTCCACAGACTATTTCTTATGTCCCAAGAGTTAAGAATTACCCTGAGGTGCTGGGGCAATGGCTCAGAGGTTAAAAACACTAGCTGTTCTTCCAGAGGACCTGAGTTCAATTTCCAGTAACCATATGGTGGCTCACAACCATCTCTAGTGGGATCTGATGCCTTCTTCTGGCATAAAGGCACTCATATACATAAAATAAAGAAAGAAATCTTTAAAAAAAAAGAGTTATCCTGACTACATGGAGGTATGTAGTTTTAGTAAGGAAGTTCTTTTTTAGGAGGACACAATACTACAAAGATAAAAAAACAGGAAAGAAAAACAGGAACAACTTCATTTTGGAAGCTGTAAACCAGATGAATGGATTATGAGATAGTGCACAGACATGGAAGACCTAGGAGAACTAAAATGTAAAAAATAAAATCTGAATGCAAAAAAATAAATCTAAACATTGACTTTTAGAAGAATTCAAAACAGATATACACAATAAAAACAAAGATTTCCCCTAGCAGTAGTGGTGCACGCCTTTAATCCCAGCACTCGGGAGGCAGAGAGAGGTGGATCTCTGTGAGTTCGAGGCCAGTCTAGTTTACAAAGTGAGTTCCAGGACAGACTCCAAAGCTACAGAGAAACCCTGTCTCGAACCACCTCTCCCCACTGCGCCAAAAAAACCAAAAAACCAAACCAAAACAAAAAAACAACAACAAAAAAACCCCCATAATTCATAGAGTATGATACTGAAGAAAATCTAGGTGATCCTGGGCTTTGCCCCCCCAAAAATAAATAAATAAATAGATAGATAGATGGATAAATAAATAAATAAAAAGACCAGCCTTGTTATATGGTAGCTTGGGGGCATCAAAACACTTGGCGCCAAGTTTAAGAGCCCAGCTTTGTGGGAAGTAGAAAAAGACAAGATCTCCTGAGTAAATTGGGAGCATGGGGACCTTGAGAGAGGGCTGAAGGGGAGGGGAGAGGCAGGAAGGGGAGTAGAGAAAAATGTAGAGCTCAATAAGAATAAATAAAAAAATTTTTAAAAAGGGGCCCAGCTTTGATACCTGGAACCCACATGGTAGAAGGAAAGACCAACTCTTTCAATTCAGTTTGTCCACTGACTTTGACACAAGTCATGTGTGCTCACACACACACACATAAATATAAGTGTAATTTTTAAAAAGTAATAAAAAGTCAAAATGTGGTAAAAGACGAATCTTGAATGTAATCTTAGAAATAACATAGATCACTTTAATTTACAAATGAGATGCTTAGGTCCACATGAATGCTGTGATTTTCGTCTAAACTTTGCTTTTTTCATTATGAAAGTATACAATACATACATGAATTACATATATACACATTATAATAAACTTTAAGTGCTTTTTAAATTTGAATAGGCCAAATTTTTTTCGTTGCAGTAATAAAGTTTATTTTTCTAGAAAATTGGGAATACATGGGAATACAAAAGAGAAAAAAATCTATATGCCACCACCCAAAGAAAATAAATGATTAAAAAATTCTAAAATTTTATCCTAGCCTCTTTCATTTGAATATTTATTCCCCAAAATGCATTCATGCCACATCTCATTTTAATATATGTGTATCATGCCTTTGTGTAATGTAGAAACCAGCATGTCACTTAATAATTATTACTCAATTCAAGTATAGAATTATTAAAAGAAAAAGAAGGTACTGTAGGCTGGAAAGCTTTCTTTTAGTGAAAATCATCTCTGAAATAATTTGCTTCAGATTGAGCCATTTGCTAAATGGAATGAATTCACAGCAAATCCCCCCCGCCAAGGATACTTTAATTTCAGTATTTTTTAAATGTGAACAGATGTTTTTTTTAAAGTAAAGAGTAAGAATAGGGCTAGGGGTTTGGTCAGCTGGTAGGGCTTTTGCCTTGTAAGCATTAGGACCTACATTAGATCCTTGGAATATATGAGGGGAAAAAAAGGAGGAAGAGATCTGCAAGGGGAGCCATCGAGCCTGGAAAGTGTTATGCAGACGCTGGAAGACTGGCTTTGCCTCATCAAGGTGGAAAGAGAAGAGACCCCTGAAAACTGTCCACTTCTCTCCACAAGTATATTGTGACATGTGTACCTCACCCCAACGCACACTCAAAATAAATTTTAAAAATCACATCCAGGTTAAAAAATAATACTTACCCATTTCAGTCACTTCAGTGTTTGTAATGTCCTCAATCTTGGAATAATTTTTTATATTGATGCCAGTAAGTTTACTTAGAAAAGAAAGTTCAGATTTTAAATGTCCAAGCTGGCTTTTCAGGTCTTTCAAGGATTCCAATCCCTCAGAATTTGACTGGGGAAATTTTTGAAATGATTTCCTGAAAAGCAAATATCAGAAATTGTTACTTGGCTACTACTAAGTGTTTTACTTATTATACAACTTGTCCTCTAGGTTCTAACCCTAGTACTGAAGGTGGGGTTTTGAGAAATGGCTCAGAGGCTAAGAACACTGGTAGTTCTTCCAGAGGACCCAATTATGGTGGCTTACAAGTCTAATTCCAGTTCTAGGGGCTATGATGCCCTGTTCTGGTCTCTAGTGGGCACTAGGCACACAGAGTACATAGACTTCATGCAGTCAGAGAACAGGACTTTCTGAAGCTTTTTGATCTTAGGAACTTTCAAGTAAAATGGTATGAAAAAAATCGACTCTACTAATTGACTCTACTCAGACAGATGAGGGGAGAGAACATTTCAGAAATTCATGAAAATGGAGATAACAGGAAATCATATGAAATGAAATAAGCCAGAAGGTCGAATACTACTTGTTTTCTCTTACCCAGATTTAAAATTCTTTGTTCTCTGCCCCACCATGTGTGTGTGTGTGTGTGTGTGTGTGTGTGTGTGTGTGTGTGTGAGAACCAGCTTTGGGGGATGCCGAAAGAGAATGGACAGGAGCAAAAGATAACAGCATATATGTAAGAAGATGCCATGATGAAATCAACTACTTTGTATGCTAACTAAAAAAAATTAAAGAAAAGGAATATAACTCATCATTTCTAGTCAATGTAGCAGTGGAAGCAATTAGGCAAAAGAAATTTTAGCATGAGAAAATCTGAAGCACAGGAGGAGGCAATTACTAAATCAAGATCACTCAGCCAATAGCAAAGTCAGGATCTGAAGGTATGCAATCTTGGAATCAGTGTGGGCACATGGATATAACTAAGCAACTTTATTCCAGGTGCCAATCATTTTAAAAGCATTTTGGAGGATTGGCAAGAAGGCTTTGTAGGTAAAAGTACTTGTTGCCCAAGTCTGACACAGAAGTTTTATACCCATTGGAAGGAGAGAAATGACACTTGAAAGTGTCTGTTCTATACACTGTCCTCCACATATATGGCACAATATACACATGCCATCACTCACACACAATACACATGCAATAATCATTTTAAAAATTAAGTAGCTCAGTACACAGGCCTCAACCTTCCTTCACCATAGTGAGAAAAATAACACATTAAATCCACACACTTTGGACTGACATCTAATATTTTCCCTGATCTAAATTCTTCTAACTTTCAACTATATTACTACATAAACAATCTACTGTGTTATATCGACATCTTGTGGTGAGTAAAGAAACTATTTTCCTCTATGGTAAGTAAGACACAGTGCTTCTCAATTTTTTTTTTTTTTTGATCAACTGATTGATTTTGTTTTTTGAGACAGGGTTTTCCGTTTAACAGACCTGCTGGCCTGGAACTCACTCTTCTACCAGGGTGGCCTCAAACTCAGAGATCTGCCTGCCTCTGCCTCCCAAGTGCTGGAACTAAAGGTGTACGCCACCAGTCAAGTTTTCGTTTCTCAAACTTTTAAGTGTGCCTAAAAAGGGTATAGGGACAAGCTGTCTTGATAAAATACAAATTCTAATTTGGTAAGTGGGTGTGGAGTAAGTCTGGTAGTCTCGCCAACTCATAGATAATCCTAAACTTCCAATATGTGGGTCACACCTGAATCAGAAGCAAGTGTCTCATATTGTTGCTTGGGGAAGAAGATACATATAGGCCAGGGCACAATTTTTTTTCTTTCATCAGTTACAACTTTATATCATTTTATTTTCTTTAAGACTTCTCCACAAATTCCTGCACTCCAAAGGTTCTTTTCAACACAGGAAAATCCCACTCTCTGCAAGTGTACCAAATTATACCTAATAAAATAAAGGTAGTTTGTTTTCAGGTGTAAGATACTTAATCACTGTTAATTCCAGGCTTCCTTCTTTCTTCTTCTCTTTGAATTCAAGAGAATGCTTGGACTTTGTATTTTCCTACTTAACTCTCTGGCCCTGTTAACCCCTGTTTAAAGGTTCATCACCTTTAAACAGGGGTTAACAGCATCACCTAATCAGAGGATCATCACACTTTCCTACATACCATATTAGCCACATGCCAATTTATTTCACCTAAGCTATTTTTCAGACGACATTTCTGTCATTAACTATACCAGTACCCACCCACCCCATCCCCACCACCAGTCCCGTGTCTGATTCTTGTCCATACTAGGCTGCCCTGCCACGGAGCTATATACCCCCAACCCTTATGTTATTAGCATAAAACAAAATGATCAAGCCCTCTTTACTATAGTTAGGTGACCCACAAAAACAAATCCATGAAACCAGAGTTAGGGGATGCCAACTAGAGCAAAGCTTGGCGGCTCGGGTAATAACCCCACCGCTGGGGGTGGGAGCTGAAGAAGGAAGATCGTGAGCTTGAATTCCTGACCTATAGAATATCTGCAAAACTATAAAAATAGCCCAACTAAATACTGTTTCCCGAAGACGAGATTTCTTAAAGAAAAGGAAGACTTTCCTACTGACTGTCATCAACCGGGCAAAACTAACCCTTAAGAAAACTATTTTCTGCTGATTACAATCAAGCAGGGCTCACACTCTGAGGTCACTGTCCTCACAGAATCGATACTGACTCAAGCTGACATTTCAGGAGGTCTCCCACTACACTGTTCAGGACCCGGCGTGCAGGGAGTCGGAGCCCCGAGCTGTCAGGAGGTTGCCAAGTCTGCCGGGTGCTACGAGGCGTGGGCCCGAGGTCGGAGGACAGGAGCCACGTACCCGGCTCCGGACGTCTTCTCCCAGGGCTCTGGCAACAGGGTGCACTCCCGCTGCAGAGCCGCGACCTCCGCCTCCAGGGCGCGCAGTTGGCGGGTCTCGGAGTCCATGGCACCCGGTGAGCAGCAAGGCAGGGGAAGCTGCGCCCCACAGCTCTGTCAGGGCGCCCCGCTCGCGGGGAGCTTCAAGCCGCGCGCGCACTCCAGGCACGGACCATTCGCGAGCTCGAGGGGGAAGAGGCTGCTTGGCGACGCACATCCGCCTCACCCTCAACCTCCGTTCTAGATGCCGGCGTCCCTCAGAAGGAGGCGCCTGGTGTCTAGACACTCCCCACGCTTAGGCTAGGTGGTTCGTTCCAAACCGAGCGTCGAGCTCCAGCGACCGCCCGCCCCCTCATGCTGTCTTTGAGAGGCCCGAGCCCTTTCGTCACTGAGAGGGCGGTCTCGGGAAGCACGAGGAAAAGAGTCTCTTTATTATTGTTCCGCTTTTCCACTTCCGCCTTCCTTGACCCGGAAGTCGGGCTTCACGTGGCGGCAAGTCTTCTCTGTAGGAATTACGGAACTACTTTTTTCCTAGGCTCTTTTACAGACGTGGAAGAGAAGGTAGCGGAACGTTAGTTGGAATGAAGGCAGATGAAATAAAGAACCCTCGGGAACTGCGTGGAAACGGAACCTTAGGAGACCGGGTTGGAAACACCGTAGGAAAGAAAAGAAAGTGCGCCTGCTGGCACGTGTAATTAGACGTTAGGGGTACGCTGCACTAGTGCTGAGGGACGACCGCTTGAGCGTGTTTTCGTGTGAGAAGTGATGGGCTGTTGGACCTAACCTCTCCTCTCCTAGCTTGGGACTTCTCGGAGGAGGAAGGAGGGGTGGGTAGGATGGGGCGGAGGCTGCCAAGAAGTGGTACATTGTGGATGTCTCCCAGACAACAGGTTTTGGCTTTGCGCTCCTGCCGGCCGTTTTGTAATCTCGGCTTGGAATCCGTCAGCCAGCTTTTGAGGAAAGTTTGAGTGAGAGCATCTACTGAGAGCTAAACAAGATGGAGGAATCTCCCGAAAACCTTTCCAGCAACTATGGTAGTATAGTGTTAAGAGTTTCAGGGTCTGATCCTTGTTTCACCACTGGCATTTTCTAAGTGGCACTGGGGAGAAGTCTTAACCTTTCCTGCCCCTCTGAACAGTGAGAACCACGCATAGTACTTCGTGCAATTGAGGCACACAATGGGAAAAAAATGTTGAACCTATAACTTTAGTTCCCCTCTTTCTGCCTGAGCAGTGCTTTCGGGACACTTGTATTATGCTATACTGTTGTAGCTGCAGACTTTATCTCTGTTGTGACAATGGAGCTCCAGGATGGAGATAGTTTTAGCCTTTGACTTACTATTTTGTCAGTATCTGTTAAAAATAAATATACAAACGAATCACGGGGTGGCAGGGCGGGAACACCCAATACTATGAAAAAGAAAATGAAAAGGGTAAGATAGAGTAACTGTGGTTGTGTTGTATACAGAGAAAATATCGGGGTGTATGTATGTGTGCACTGTGCAGGTGGGTGCAGTTCCAAAGTGTTCATTGAGAATGTCAATGTAGGGCCTTTGTAAAAATTCCATTTATAAAATCTGAAGAATACAAATAGCGAGGTGTAGTTCCATAAGACCAGATTGGCACAGAAGTTTCAGGAGAAAGAGTTGTGTTACATTTGTGAAAAGCTCTTAAGTGGTCTCTACACAAAATTACTTTTCCAGATAGATGCCCAGTATTCATGAAAGCCAACAGAGAAATGAAGCGCCTCTTTGTGGGAGGGCTTGGACAAGGCATTTCTGAGACAGACTTACAAAATCAGTTCAGCAGATTTGGAGAAGTATCTAATGTGGAGATCATCACTCGGAAAGATGACCAAGGTAAATCTATAACCATTAACTGAATATATACCAACTCAAGGCAGGTATTACAAAAGAAAGCAACTCTGAAGCTGAATTTTAGCACTGAACATTGAAAATGATATATGCCTTCCTGGAGGTATTGCATATAAAAATTAATTTTGGAACAGAAAAATTATAAAACATTTGAATTTCCAAAACATCTTTACTTTGAGTTTTAGGCATCAACATTCTAGCATTAAGTCTCTTGTTGAGTAGAATGTCATTAGCTACAGTTAAGATGTGTCTTAACTGATTACTCGAGGGTTTTTTTTGTTTTTTTTTTACTCATTTTATTTTTAAAAACTGTTTTATAAAAATTAAGTCTTTGGTCTGGTGTTCAAAAGGTATTTTTTCAAAGAATAAGTGTTTATAAACTTTTAAAACTTGGAACAATTTTTAGGGCTGTACATGGTAGTGCATGTTTTTGATCCCAGCACTAAGGAAGCCAAGGCAGGCTGCTATCTGAGTTCAAAGCCAGGCAGTCATCTCATAAAAAACAAAAACTATTGAGATTTACATTGTTCTGTGGATATGAATTATATCAGCCAAATTTTCTTTTTTAGGGAATTCACAGAAGGTCTTTGCATATGTTAACATCAAAATAACAGAAGCGGACCTGAAAAAATGTAAGATCATCATGGACTTTTTATTCTATTTGTCAGTGTGGTTGTGTAACTGAAATGACTTTGGTTCCATATCCAAGCCTCGCTAGTCACTCATGAGTTGTGTAGATTGGCAACCATGATTTAGAGAATTCTGTGGCCATATATCTCATGTTTCAGTTCATTCAGTTAGTGTCAGAAGATCTAGTGTCACATGCTAGTAGCCTTGCGCAGAAACTGTTTTCAAATAATTTAAACAAAGGACCAAACTTCCATAGAAATTGCCTATTACACTTACCCCACTTAGTATAATGCTACAATTCTCCTAAGTCCATTCTTTTCTTAGGCAGCTAATCTTTTGTCTTTAAGACCTGTTATGAAAGGACATTGTCAGACCCTATCTCTGAAACTGTGGCATGTATTACTAGGAGATTAGTAAAGATATGGGACAATATTAGCTGTCAGTGATTAAAATGGGGGAGATGATTTATCATTGGTTAATGTCCGTTAATGTATTCTGATTTCTTGGAAGTCAAAAAAGAAAAAGGCACTGAAAAGCAAGTAAAAGACACATACCATTGGGAGAAAGTAATCAGTCTTTTATAATTATATTTGCAAACATTATTTTTGGTGCAAGTATATATAAGGTAGTTTATTTAAACTTCTCAGTTCAGCAAATGAAAAGATACAGTGCCTTAAGTTGTAATGTTACTGTAAGGATTGAATAGTACATTAGAACATAGTAAAATATCTACCTGCATGGAAGATTTTGTTAGTGGTTACATTAAGGAAGCTGACAATAGATATTAGAAAAATCAACCACTACGGCACAAAAATTGAAGCACATTTCAATCACTAGCTAACGTGTGTGTTTGTACATGCTTTGCGATGGTGACTGGATTGAGATGAAAGATAATGCTACAAGACCCCAAAATGTACTCTCATTCACCCTGAAAAGATTTCATTATTTATTTATCTTATAGAAAATAACAAAATAGTAAATAAATATTCACCAGAAGTTCCTAAAATGAGTCTATAAACAATTTGTACAAAAGTTTTGCTTTACAGTTTATATATTATTTTTTCTGTCATCCTTCATGTAACTGAGAGAAAGAAACCTCAAGCAGGGACTGAAGGAATGACTTAATAGTTAAGAATTTTTGCTCCTGTTACAGAGGACCCAAGTTCATTTCCTAGCACCCAAATGGGTGGCTAACAGCCACATGTGACTCCAGGTCCAGAGGATCTTTTAGCCCTCTTTCAGCCTTCAGAGGTATTCACACACAAATGAGCATATTAACATTCACACACACATGAGATAAAATGCTTGAAATAAATTTTTTTTTTTTTTTAAAGAAGAGGGAGAAAACTACTAACTGGTCAGAATAAGACAGAAAGCCTAGGTTCTTTTTTCTCTGCTTCACTTTTTCTTCTACATTGTAGGTGTCTCTTTGTGACTAATAAACCTATTTTTCCTAGTACTAAGTAATTAAAGGGGGAAAAGTGCTGAAATACAGTTTTGCACTGAAATGAACTTTGGCAATTCTTTACTCTATAGGTATGTCTATTTTAAACAAAACAAAATGGAAAGGTGGAACACTACAAATTCAGCTAGCGAAAGAAAGCTTCTTACACAGGTAAGATTTTTCCTACATGTATTTAAACCCATTTTCTTTGTAGTATAATTGCTTTTATGAGTTTTCCTAACTAATTTGAAATTATTGAAAATATTACTAGTTTTCATGATTAGTTTCACAACTTGACGCAACCTAGAACCACCTGGGAAATAAATTTTATTGTAGTATTGTCTACATCAGGTTGGCTTGTAGGTTGTTTGTGACAGATTGCCCTTATTGATTCCATTGATCTGGGAAATCCTAACCTGGAAGTGGATGGTGCCATTCCCCAGTTTGAAGCCTTAGACTGTAGGGAAAGGTAGCTGAGGAGTATGTATGTGTTCATTTATTCTCTCTGTTCTTTACTGTGGGTGTGACTAGGTGCTTTGGGTTCCTGCCTTAACTACCCTGCAATATACTATAATGGACTATAACCCACAGTTGTGACCGTAAAGAAACCATTTCTTCCCTAGGTTGCTTTTTATTTGGAACATTTTATCACAGCAACAGAAATGAAAACAGGACACTAGCGCATGTAGACCTGAAGTCTTTCCACTCTCCTTTTATTCTAAGCCACACAGAGAATTCAGTGCCGTTACATGTGCATGTGTATTGCATGTATATGTGTTTCTTTATTTTTTTCTTTCCAATACAATCTTCTATGGCTTTCCCCCTTTTGTAACAACTATAACAACTATCAGAAGTGTCTGTTACCACAGTGTCTCTTCACTCTGAAGGACATTTAAACTATTTCTATCTCTTGCTATCTATCTATAGATGATCCATCAGGATGTCTTATAAATATGAAAGTGTTTCTATGTCAAAAAGGTAAAGTTTCCTAAACTGAATTACACTTGTTGATTTTGATTGTTAAATGCAGTGTCATACAAAGAGAGAAAGAAGATATATACATGAGACATTGTCCTGGTTAATTTTCTATTGCCATGATGAAGCATTTAATTTGGGGACTCATGGTTCCAGAGGGTTAGAGTCCATGACCAGTCATGGCAATAGGCAGACATGCATAGTGCTAGTGCAGTAGCTGAGAGCTTACATCTTATTTACAAGCATGAGGCAAAGAGAAAACCAACTGGGAATGGCTTATGCTTTTGAAATCTCAGAGCCCACGCTCAGTGACACACCACCTTCTGCAAGGCAGTGTCTACTAATCTTTCCTAAAGAGTTCACCAACTGGAGACCAGGAATTCAAATATATGAGCATATGGGGCCATTCAGAGACATAATAATTCT